CACTTGTTGAGTGGCATGGATGTGTGCTGATATCTCAAGAACTGTATGTCGGTTTTTGATGAAACTTGGTGTATAGATGCTCTGGGCCGATACTCAAATTTTATTAGATTTTGGGTTAAATCCATACATATTAATTACCTAATTTGCATGATAATTAGCTAATTTTTAGCTGTTCCATATCTGTTCCACTGATATCTAAAGAACTACTAGAAACTTGGTACATAAGCAGCTCTGGAACAATTACAAACCTGATAAATTTTTGGTTAATATCTGTGTATATTAATCACCTAATTTTTCATAAAGATTAGTCATATTTTGGTTAATCATCACATTTCAATGAAACTTAGTACATGGGCAGACCTGTTTAGGTTTGGTTTAAATCTGTGCATATTAATTACCTGATTTGCATAATTATTCATAATTTTGGGGCTTTTCATTGATATATCAAGGTACAATCACATTTCAGTGAAACTTGGTACATTAATGGTCTGTGACATTGCAAAGACCTTACTTGTTTTACATCTTGGTATGCAAATACACTAAGACAGTGCAACTGAATAGTTTTGGGTTTATATACATCCATAATGAATCTTCACATTATAATGAAACTTGGTACATAAACCTTATTAATTTGGATTGAAATCTAAGCATAATAATTGCTTAATTTATATAATAATAATCCATTTGTATTCAAAATACAATTATTGCATTCCAATAAGACTTGCTTTATAAGTGCCATGGAACAATGCATTAGTTTTGGGGTTAAAATTCAAGCATACTAATTATTATTATCTAACTTCTGGTATCTCATAAATCTGATTTAATTTGAACTTGTGGTAGAGGTGCTTTGGAATAAATCAGACTGAAAAACACAGATGTAAAATCAAATGTATTTTCTCTAAGTATTATAAACTTATTAGGTTTCCATGTTGTACATCTCAAATAGTAGACAAATATTAGTTGCCAAGCTACTAATTCATTTTTCATATTTCTCCATTACTCTCAGCACACTGAGTTCTTTGTAAGCGTTCTTTTATCCTAATTCTGTAATTTGAATTAATCAAAATCGACTTTAGGGTCATTATGGAGTGGTCTATAAAGCTATGTGGAAGCAATATCCGAATATACCTGAAATGAATGAAGAAGTAGCTGTCAAAACATTACCAATTTCCTACAAAAAAAGCCGTTCACATGTTGATGATTTCAAGCGAGAAATTATGAGTACAGTTAAGTTTGATTCTCCAAGGGTTATTCAAGTTAAAGGAATTTCTATTGGTAAGTATAAAAGGACAGTACCTAGGTTTGGTCAGTTCTACCTGGGTTTGGTCAGCTGTACCTGGGTTTGGTCAGCTGTAACTGGGTTTGGTGAGCTGTACCTGGGTTTGGTCAGCTGTACCTGGGTTTGGTCAGCTGTCCCTGGGTTTGGTGAGCTGTCCCTGGGTTTGGTCAGCTGTAACTGGGTTTGGTGAGCTGTACCTGGGTTTGGTCAGTTCTACCTGGGTTTGGTCAGCTTTACCTGGGTTTGGTCAGCTGTACCTGGGTTTGGTCAGTTCTACCTGGGTTTGGTCAGCTGTAACTGGGTTTGGTCAGCTGTAACTGGGTTTGGTCAGCTGTAACTGGGTTTGGTCAGCTGTACCTGCGTTTGGTCAGCTGTACCTGGGTTTGGTCAGCTGTAACTGGGTTTAGTCAACTGTAACTGGGTTTGGTCAGCTGTAACTGGGTTTGGTCAGTTCTACCTGGGTTTGGTCAGCTGTACCTTGGTTTGGTCAGCTGTACCTGGGTTTGGTCAGTTCTACCTGGGTTTGGTCAGCTGTACCTGGGTTTGGTCAGCTGTACCTGGGTTTGGTCAGTTCTACCTGGGTTTGGTCAGCTGTACCTGGGTTTGGTCAGCTGTACCTGGGTTTGGTCAGTTCTACCTGGGTTTGGTCAGTTCTACCTGGGTTTGGTCAGCTGTACCTGGGTTTGGTCAGCTGTACCTGGGTTTGGTCAGCTGTACCTGGGTTTGGTCAGCAAATGGTACAGTGTTAAGTGTGTTCACCTCAGGTAAATTGTTAGTATGATTCTAGTTGCATTTATTCACTTGCAACCAAAAACTTAATAACTTAGTCACTTGTAATATATTTTCAGATCCAAACTCTGTTGGACTCATGATGGTAATGGAATATCTACCCCTTGGTGCCTTAAATAGTTACTTAAGAAAGAATCCTCAATTACAATTAGAAACATTGTACAGATTTTCTAAACAAGTTGCTGAGGTAAGTACTTTAGACAGTTTCTGATTTGCCATATTTTGTTCTCAAAGCATGTAACGATTATGTTTATCCATGCCTCCATCATCATTTCTTGGAAATGCCTGGGCCGGACTGATGTTGTTCAAAGGTAATACAAAGCCAAGTCATAATGGGATTTATATAAAAAGTTGATTTTTTCTGTTTGGTCAACCTTTGACCAACTAGCAGCCATTTTTGTCCCAAAATGTCATCAACTGTTTCTTTGCGATTTCATTCAAACTTGTAACTGTCATCATTCATGGTACATGTACAATATTTGTGATTTTGCGACTATTTTGTGTATATTCAAATTTTTTGCCTATTTCTTATAGAGATTTTTCAAGATTCGGCTTAAAGTTAGTGTCCTTAACTATTTTTTGGATGTGCTTTTATAAAAACTAATTAATTATGAGTCAGCAATACCTCTTGTTGGCTTAGCATAACTACAATCTTTTTAAATATTGCACAAAAAATAAACCGCAGCACACCATAGTATAATTATAGATGTAATTTAATGTATTTTTTGTATGTTAATGGACAATGAATCTTGTAACTTGTATGCACTTTTTATCTTTTACTGTCTTTCACTTTTTAGCTCCACTGTTGAATTTGTCGAGAGGAGCTTATCATATGAGTGATTGTCCGTTGTCATCTGTCGTCGTTCGTCTCAACTACAATTGTTATTGCTTTGATACTTGGTGTATATGTACCTTGGGTAGACCTCTTTGTTAGCTTCGCTGTTGACTTTGTCGAGCAGAGCTTATCATATGAGTGATTGTCAGTCGTGGTCTGTGTCAACTTTTTATTTTTTCAACTTCTTCTGGAAAACTACAATTGTTATTGCTTTGATACTTGGTGTATATGTACCTTGGGTAGACCTCTCTTAGATTTGTTCATTTTGTGATGATATCTTTAATTCTCTAATGTTGGTGAGTATTCTTGTCATTTTTGGTAAAAAGTGATATTTTTGACTTCGTGTTGAAAACAGAAAGTCTGATTGCTTTAATATTATTATTATTTATTTCCATTTCTCTAAAGAAATACACTCCACTAACCTGGGGGAACAGGTTACAATGCATATAAAAAGAAAGTTACAAGCGTGACTTTAATTGCCTCAATAAAAGAAAATATTACAACTCATCTATTGGACTCACACTAACAAATTATATCTAATCTGAAAAGCTGTGTATACAAATCTTGCAAGAATTTTGATGATTTCATGGTTATCCTGAGAAAAAATATATATAGATTTACTGATAGGCCAAAGGAGCTCAAATTGTGGTTCAATGCAGTTAATTCGATCAAAAAGTGGTTTTCGAATATGGTTATATGCTGGACAAACTGCCAAAAAATGAGTCTCATCTTCAACAGCATCTATACATATTTTGCAGGTTCTATTTCCCACTGGAGTTCCATAATGTCTATCGATCTCAATGTGTACCTTATGATTAGAGCACGGAAGTTTAGTTAAAGCTTGTCTGTACAAGGGAACACAAACGATATCTAAATAATTCTCATAAAAAATATTTGTTTTAAATTGGCGAAACGTTCGTAAATTATTTCTACTCTTTGGGGACATATAGATCATTTCATAGTGATATATAGAGGATCTCCAATGAGTGACCGTGTAATATCGGATTTATTAAATGAGTGTAGTAATTAATTACTAGACTAGTAAGTGTAGTAATAATTAACTTGAGGATCGGCTGTTAGGCCCCGGGGTCACTAATCACTCTTGGGTGTGTGTTTACTGAGTGGAACAGCATTCGACCCTGC